CACACGACACACACACACACACACACACACACACACACACACACACACACACACACACACACACTCCTATGTGAAGGTGACGCATCGACGATAAAGTCATTCGCGCCGCTACTTTTAACGGCTTTTGAACTGATGTTTGCAGTCTCACAGCTCGGTGGAGCGGGCCGGGTTGCTGGGAGCAGTGACGATACGTAAGCTGGCCACCGATGAGAACTTCACGCTGAGAGGAGCAGAACTACAGCGGGCGATCAAGAAGGATCGAGCTGCCGGACACATTCCATTCTTCGTAAGTTGTTCCCGGAGTGTTGTTGTGCCGAGTGAAGCCGCGAACGCTGAGGGAGAGACGAAGAAACGAATATATATATATATATATATATATATATATATATATATATTATATACTATGTCTCGCTGTCTCTTCCTCTTTCACCCCCTACTCCCTTTATCTTTCTCTACCTCTCTTTCTCTCACTCACTCACTCCCTCTTCGCACACACACGCACGTGCGTATAAATCTTTTTGAATGCTGATCTGGTGTTGACAAACATGGCGATAAGATAACTCTATGTTTCAGCGATTTTGATCAGTATGCGCGGCTTTCGCATCAACTTTATTATTGCTAAGTTAACCTGACTTAGGCTAAGTTAAGCTTTTTTTTATGAAACCTAAGTTAAGCTAACTAGTAAAACCTAAGTTAAAATAACTAGTAAAACTTAAGTTAAGCTAACTAGTAAAACCTAAGTTAGGCTGACTAGGCTAGTTAAGATACGCAAGTTAAAACAAGATCTGCCAAGTTGCATTCCGTAGCATGCCAATAGCATTTAGCCATTAGAAATAGCCATTAGCCGTTACCGTGTTCCCTGGGCTCAGTGTGATCTGTTCTGTACTTCAGCTTTGCGCTACGCTGGGAACGACATCGTCCTGTGCTTTTGACAACATTAGGGAGCTGGGCCCGATATGTAAGTATTAGAACAGGAAGCCATACCTATGTCTGAGTTTGCAATGAAATTACCATATACGACAATGGCAGGGAAAATAAGAGTACCGATGTAATTCAATTATAAATATATATCATTAATATATAATATACCTATTATTAATTATTATAATATATTATATATATATATTATAATATTATTAATTATATTATTATATTATTGCATTATATTATAATATATTGCAATATGTTTTTAATAGAATTAGACATATATGCGTCAACAATATGCAAGTAATGGTGCCGGGAAAATTCTACTCATCACTGCCCTACCAATATTTTATTTCGCGTGATGAGTCTTCAGATACGTCCTTCTAATATAGTGAATTTGTCGGCGGAAATCTATATACAGGTACACAAGAAGGCGTATGGATGCATATAGATGCCGCATATGCGGGCAGTTCATTTATTTGTCCCGAGTATCGGCATCTGTTAGAAGGAGTTGAGGTAAGATCGTGAATTAACGCTGTCTATTTGACATGCCTCTATCATATGACATCAGTCTGTGTTGACATTTCTGTTTGGCGGTTTGCGTTACCGCTTGTGGTTAACCGGGATCGTCTCCAAATGGACGGATTACTTTAGATTCAAATACATCTTCGTTCGTTCGAATCCGAGTAACAAAAAAATGCTTTTTTGTGGAGTGGTATACTCGGTTTCATTTATGTCAGAGTGATATGGTGTCCTTCGTGACACTGATGCTGGTGGATTTTTTCGTATATATTCAGTTTGCAGAATCGTTCAATTTCAATCCGCACAAGTGGATGCTGGTGAACTTTGACTGCTCAGCGATGTGGTAAGCATGCATACCCCTCTCTCTCTATTTCTCTCTCCCACTCTCTCCCGTTCTGTCTCTCTTTCTTTCTTTCTCTCTCTTTCTCTCTCTCTCTCTCTCTCTTTCTCTCTCTCTCTCTCTCTCTCTCTCTCTCTCTCTCTCTCTCTCTCTCTCTCTCGCGCGCGCGCTCTCTCTCTCTCTCTCTCTCTCTCTCTCTCTCTCTCTGTGTG